AAAAATATGTTTTTTATTGATTTCAGAGAGAGGAAGGGAGAGGGAGAGAGAGAAACATCAGTGATGAGAGAGTCATTGACCGGCTGCCTCCTGCGTGCCCCCTACTGGGGCTCGACCTCACAAGCCCGGCCTGCGCCCTGACCGGGAATCGAACCGTGACCTCCTGGCTCATAGGTCGATGCTCAACTGCGGAGCCACGCAGGCCGGGTTCATTATGCGTCATTTCTATGCCACCTACTTACACAGTAACTTGAAAGATAGAAACACAAGAACCACAGGTTCGGGGGAACTTTCAAAGCGGGGCTGATCCCCAGGTTTTAAAGGAGCGTCAGGCTGACTGAGCCGTCCGGGGCGCGGGGCAGGAGGAAAGACCACTGCCCGCCTTGGGGGCCTGGCCCGCGGCCGGCCTCTGCCCCAGCTCCGCCCTCTGCCCGCCCGCAGGGAGGAACAGCCTGGGCGCCCACATGACCGCCTTCCGCTGCATCAGCTCCTGCAGCCCCGCCCTCTGGAAGGCTCTCTTTGGCCACGTCATGCTCTCCGGAGGCACCGGCTCCTGCATCGGCCTGAAGTCCCGGATGCAGAGAGAACTGTCCGCCCTGGTGTCCCCTTTAATTAACGTGAAGGTATGTCCTCCCTGTCCACCCTGTGAGGGCTCCCAAGTCGCTGCACAGGGATTTCTGGAGGGAGCCTCTGAGATGCCAGGCACATGCCAGGCGCTTGGGGCACAGTGAGCAGAAGAGACGCCCTCCGGTGCCTTCGGGCAAGTCAGCGAACGCACAGGGAGGACACTCCCCTTGAGCAAGGGATTGAACCTTCTAGAGCCTCAGTGGCCCCAGCTGGCAAATGGGCATGGCGCTGTTCCCCCTCCCAGCCCAGGGGAGCCCTGGCTTGGGTCAGAAGCACTGCTTTCTCCCCGAATTGGGCGTGAAGGACCGTCTCACTCCACCGACGTCCCTGTAAGAGCAGGACAGGAACAGGAGCCAGGAGGTATTGAAAGCGGTGCTGAAATGTCTGGGGGTTTCTCTGGGCATCGGATTCCTCGTGATTTATTATTATTATTTTTTGATATCTGCATTTTCTAATTTTTCTACAGAATACGTATGGTTTACACATAGACGTGACATAAGTATAAATGTGTCATGTTTTGTAGCGGAGTCTGAGGAAGCGACAGGCAGTGGGATGTGGACCGTTAAACATCTTTAATGGGTGGAAGAAATTGTATTTTCTGGGGGGGAAGAAGTTTGTTCAGGAATTGGTATTTTGTGCCCCCCATTTAGACGAGTGTTGATCCTG